GAAAAATAAAATTAAATAATTAATATATAATAAACCATATTATATTATATAATATAAATTTAATATATTAAACAAAATTTAGTATTCGAATAATACCTCTCAAATGGATGCATCCAATGAAATTGCACTGGTCCCCCCACCTTGGCTTCATATGGAAGGTGAATTGCTAGATGCTCCATCGAATCAAAAAAAGAAGGAAGGAAGATTCTTTCAAGTTGGCATATTGTTTCTACAATCTTCACTTGCCAAATCTCCATATCTGTAACTCAAATGGTTGCAAAACATAAGGCTCTAAAAAACTCACTAATCTCAGTAAGTGCTTCCCAAACTTGTTTTGGGAGAAAATCACGGAATGCAATTGGAAGGAAACTTTGCATGAATATGTGACAATCATGACTCTTCATCCCACTAACTTTCACCTCTTGCATATTCACACATCGAGAGATGTTGGATGCAAAACCATCAGGAAATCTAAGATTCTTTAGCCACTGGCACACAGATTTTCTTTGGTCCCTGTTTAGGACATAAGTGGCATTCGGTTTTTTACCCGCATTAGAGCCTGTTTCTGGTATACAAAGATTTGGCCTATTACAATATAATTCCATATCCATCCTTGCCTTCAAGTTGTCCTTCGTCAATGGGTCATCCATGACAGTGTGAAAGATATTATCAAAAATTTTTTTCTCACAGTGCATTACATCAAGGTTATGATGGATTAAGTTTGTGCTCCAATAAGGAAGCTCCCAAAAGATACTCCGTTTAACCCAGTTATGCCAATGACCAAATCCTTCAATCACTTGCCTTTGGGATGGCTTCCCAAATAGTATATCAGGCAATTGCTGAATTTGTCAATGCACATCATCACCCGATAATCTCTCTGGTGGAGCCCGATTCTCTACATGACCTTTTTTAAATTCACTCCTATTTCTCCTGAATGGATGGTCGGGAGGTAAAAACTATCGGTGACAATCAAAAAATGAAATCTTTCGACCATTTGGAAGGTGGAATGCCTTAGAATTTTTTTGACAATACGGACATGACAATCTACCATGTGTGCTCCATCCAGATAACATACCATATCCAGGGAAGTCAGTAATTGTCCACATAAGTGCTACTCTCATAATGAAATGTTCATGCCTAAAACTATCATATGTCTTCACCCTGTTATACCAAAGTTCCTTTAATTCATCAATCAGTGGTCGTAGCAAAACATCAATGTTTTTTCTAGGACTTTGAGGACCTTGTATTATCAGAGAAAAAAAGATGGACTCCGATTTCATACACATTGCTGGAGGTAGGTTGTAGACAGTAAAAAATACAGGCCAACATGAATACGGGGCGGATGTATGCCCAAATGGAGTGAACCCATCTGTGCACAATCCAAGCCTGACATTCCTTAGATCTGATGCAAAGTCGGGGTAGGTGCGATCGAAGTGTTTCCATGCCTCAACACCGGCAGGATGCATAATCTTTTCAGATACACCACCACAATTCAAGTGCCATATCATGTGTTCAGTAGTTTTTCTACACATGTACAACCTTTTGAGTCTAGGTGTAATCGGGAGATACCACAATGACTTCCTTGGTATATGTTGATTTTGTTGCACATGTCCCTGTTTATAACGAGGTTCACCGCATATTGGACAGGCGATGTAGTTTTTGTTTTCATATTCACCATAATACAAGAAGCAGTTATTAACACAAACATCATACTTCTTATAACCCAGACTGAAGCGCTTCATCATCTTTTTAGTACTGTAAAAATCTTTTGGAATTCTATCTCGATCCTCTGGCTTCATCCATCTTCTAGTACACTTTAACATATAATCCCAATTAGCCATACTCATATTATAGTGTCTTTGCATTCAGAAAATGAGACACCCACTTTAGTATTGTATCACCATCATCACATCCATCATAAAGTGGCATGTCAGCAGCTTGTAGAAGATCAAAAAATTCCTTTGCATCTCCCATTGCCTCCTCAAAGATTGGCTCATCACTGGCTTGTTCATTCATATTATATTCCATACCGTGTAAATTTGCATCCATAACCATATCTCTAATTGGATCATTACATTGTTCTTCCATCACAAATGGAGTTGCACTAGAGGATTCCCCCAACTGATGATGTTGTCGCCTTCGTAGTGGCTGCTCTCCGTGTGCAAGCCAAACTATATACCCATTCATAAAACCCTATTTTGTCAAATGACATTGCACAGTAACACGACGATTCCATTCTTTGTTCATACATTTACTGCAGGGACACTTAATTCGATTTCTACAACAAAATTCTGGATTGGACTGGGAAACTGCATAATTCAGGAAAGACTCCACACCAATTTTGAATTCATCAGTATAACAGCCATTATCATCTAAACGATGATACATCCAACCTCGATCTCCCATCATGTGAAATATTTCCTTAAATTTATATTAAAAATATTGATCTCCACACACAATAAATAATACATCTACTTTAATAATAGTAAGTTACCTAAAAACTAAAAAATTAAAATAATCACAATTTACCAATCAATTAATTAATATCTTTAATAATTTAGAAATCAATTAAATAGTATAATCATAATTTACTTATCAATTAAATTATTGTGTAAATATGATTTACTAATCAATTAATCAATTAATTGATTCATTATAACTTTTTAATCAATTAAAAAATGTAATTAAGTGCAACTTAATTCTCAATTAAAGAGTATAAGTATAATTGAGTAATCAATCAATTAATCACTAACCCAATGTTAATCAATCAATTAATTAACATTATGTTAAATGAGTTTAATAATAATTTATAAAGAAATCAACTAATTAATATGATTATTATTTATCAATTGATTAAATAATATAGGCAAAAATTTATAATAATGTAATTTTAAAAAATAATTAAATTATTATAAATTAATTAAATTTTACTCAACAATTAAATATGTTATTATGACTACTAAATCAAGTAATTATTATAATTGTAAATAATTTTAATTTTTAATCAATTAAAATTATTTTATAATTTAGTAATCAATAAAATAATCAATTTAATCATAATTTATTGAAAACTTATTTAAAATATTCATAGTGTACAAATCAATTAAATAATATAATCATAATTCTATAATCAAGTAATTGAATCAATTAATTATAGTTTACTTATCAATTAAATTATTGTCTAAATATGATTTACTAATCAATTAATCAATTAATTGATTCATTATAACTTTTTAATCAATTAAAAAATTTAATTAAGTGCAACTTAATTCTCAATTAAAGAGTATAAGTATACTTGAGTAATCAATCAATTAATCACTAACCCAATGTTAATCAA